CCTGAAACGCAAACCGAGACCCTTCAGGTGTGAATTTCAACCGTTTCAATGTATAAGTTTAGCTTAGATCCGACTGTTGGACCTTTTACTCTACAGTCGTAATATTTTGTGTTCCTACTGTTAGACCTGATATTTAGCATTCAAATATTTTAACTTGTGCTCATAATCTTAGCCAGTAAAGTTGATTCTGGTGTCAAAATGTTAAATTATTGGGTTTCCATCAGAGATTAAATAAAGACTGTGAAAACCATGTCGTGTGACTGCAAGCCTTTTTATTTGACTTCTAAATCAACTCAGAGGTAAACCTTCTGATTATTTAATGATTCTGACAAACAGTTTGTGAAAACCCAACAGTATTATAAAATTAATATTAATGATCAGACCAATAAAGCTCTTTAATTCTGGATGTGATCAATGCAGAACGAGGTCTGGGATCCTTCTGCATTAACTCCTGCATCACTGCAGCCTGAACTCATCTCCATCTTGGTTCTCCGAGGTTCTGTTGTCGTTACCATGGCGACTAAAGCCCCAATAATGAGACAAACAGGAAGCAGAACAGAAACACTTTCTATATAATAGAAATACTTTTAATTTTATCACAGGCATAATTGTAAACAAGATATTTAAAAATGCAGGTTTAACTTTTGTCATCATTCAGGTTGTTTCTCTCTCTCTCACACACACACACACACACACACACACACACACACACACACAAAGAATCAGACTAAACACAGAAAAACAAAATGTGACTAGAGATTCTTCTGCTTTAAAATGATCCAAATGGATTCGCCTCCAGAGCGCGCGCACACACACACACACCCTGACACACTCTATACACACTGACACACACACACGCACACACAGAAGTTCTGCATTGACTGGGGAGGGGCCATGTTGATGATGATGATGTAGTAACTTCTACCTGGATGAAGCAGAAATCCTGGAAAACAAACAGATTTACATTCAGCACCATGTCTGAGCGCTGAGGAAGAGCGCTGAGGAAGACTCACTGTAGCTTGTCCTGCAGCAGCTCCAGCCTCTGTCGATCCACGTAGCGTGAGAACAGAGACAGCAGGTTGGGAGGCGTGAAGAGGGGCGGAGCCAACGATGAAGACGGGACGCCGAGCAGCTCCCTGGTCACAGAGAACACCAACTCTGTCCTGGACCGACACAGAGGATGATGAGGACGATGAAGAGGCAGGAAGCAAGACGAACCGTCGGCGCAGACTCACCATCGATTGTCGTCCATGAGCTGACAGTTTGGGTCGGAGCTCTGCATGCGCTCGCCTTCACTCAGGATCAGAAACAGCAGCGTCACGCCGAACTGCAGACGGGAACCAGGAAGTACTGTAGACTGGCTAGTTTTTATTAGCTTACATAGAATAACAACATCGCCGCCATGTTGCCTCCAGTTTAAAACTGAAGCTGCTTATGGTTGGCATCAGGATGAAAACATTTCCTCAAATATTTTAGTGACGGTTTTTACAAAGAGACATGAATTATTGTGACTTTAAACGGCCATTATTATCTTCCATTTAGTTTTGATTCTGTTGCTTCCTGCAAATGAAGATGGCTTCTGCTAACGGTGCTAGCATCATTAGCAGCGTGCTAGCATCATTAGCTCATCCAGCTAATGTAGCAAACAGCAGATCGTGTTTGTTTTAGCAGGAATCTCGTGTAAAACGGTTCATGGAAACTTTGAAGAGACTCGCGTAACGTTTGCCTCGACTTCTTGTGTTTTTATTACAGATTCGAGTTTACTACAATCTACCCAGCATGCATTGGACAGGTGAAGAAAATTGCGGCAGCCGCTGGTGAAAAATATGTAATGCAGATGTACAATTTTTTAAGTAATTATGAGTTTTCTGTTTTTTTTTTCTCGTGTTCATTTCTTTTATTTTTTAATGTTCGGATATCACATTTAGAATTATGATTTTTTTTTACGTATCAAACCACTTTTACTTCATATTTAACATGTTGAAGTAATAATCAGCTCATCATCCATCAGATCTGATTGGTCCAGGTGTGGCCAGCGGGCTTCCTCCCTCTAACAGAGACTCCCCCGTCCCCTCGTCCCCCATCGATGCGTTACCTTGTTCTGCAGCGCGGCGGCCAGCTGACCCTCGCCGCCCTGCAGCTCCTGCAGCAGGTCAGTGAGGGCGGAGCTGGACAGAGACTGGATGACTGCAGAGACCGGCTCCACCAGGCAGCACAACGCCTGCACAGGGAACAAGCAGCTTTTACTCATTTAAAAACTATTTTACAAAGGAACCAAGAAGAAAACATGTCAGCTGAAGCATAAAAATGATTTGAAAGGTACTAAAATTGAATTGAATTGTTTTCTGTCTTAACCGCAGCAGGTTTTCTGATGCTACCTGGTCCTGCTTGTCCTTCTTTGCTAAGGCGGGGAGGTTGCGTGCGATCACCATGACAACGGCAGCAGCCTGCGCCGCAGGCAGGAAGGGGAGGAGCCTGGCGACGAGCCGCTTCCCTTTCCTCACCGACATGATCATCACACACTGCTCATCGCTCACCCTGAGACACACACACACACACACACAGATTCATCGATTTATTTATTGTCACAATAAATAATAGATAATAGTAAAACTGTCCGTTTTGATTAGATTATTACTTTGACTATTTTCTCTGCTGTTCATTAAAATGTGATTAAATATAATTACTGTGTGAAGTTTACATACAAGTCAAACTGATTTGTGATCGAAGTAAATAATGTTAATATAAAACCGTCATTCAGTCCAACAGATTCAGAAAACAGATTTAATATTTATCACCACAATATTAACACTAAATATTAAGTCAATATCACCAAACCCCACGATTCATCCATCCCTGGAGATCTGCCAGTCCCACCTGTCCTCCCAGTCCCACCTGTCCTCCCAGTCCCACCTGTCCTCCCAG